ATTGTAAGACAATTACGCCTGATTGGCCAAGACAATGAATACGATTATCTAACTACATTTCTGCTGACCACAACAACTTGTGCGAGGCAACCTCCGGCCATCTGGCCAGGGTCACTGTATGGGATGGTGCGAAAGGGGTCAAGCTTGTTGTTGTAGCGGCGGTGTAAACAAACAGAAACCTTCCCCGAAACCTGAAAACGTAAAGCCCCTTATATCACCAACATGAGCACATGTCCACAGCGCAAGCCTTTTCAAATTCCAAAACGCTGCCGAAAAGAAATGACGGGTTCCATTTATTTACTATAACGATGAAACCCATGGAAGATTATAAAAATAATGTGTGTCTTTCTTCTTCTTCTGTTGTGTTTCCTTTTACTGTTTGTCCTAAAACCGCTACAAAGAAAAATATGTGCCAACAAAAATGGACAAAAGTGCATCCAACGTTACATTGTGACGCGGCGATTTGAGGCATATAAAAACTAGCATCCACCAGGCCTTTCTACGGGAATACGGATCGTAGAGTTCGGGGAAAAAAGAGATTAAAATTGGCCAAGGGAGTCCGGCCGCGAGGAGGTAGTTAAATGACCCCCTTATAAATCTTTCCCTCCGAAGGCCAGTCAAACCTAGTACTAGGTCCTACAAGGCGGTCAAACTCCCCTGGCAAATATTCTACTATAAATAGCCAGCGTTGTGAGTCTGGTAGAGGCTATGTAAAGACATAGTCACTGACAAAGTCAATTGTGAACGACAGGCCAGATCAAGTGTATAGCAAATATTAGTATCTGGACATACATTTCTGCATTCGGAATCGGAAACAACGAATGTCACCAAGGAGCTCTTATCTACGCACCGCAACACGTTCAATTCGACAGAACAACAACAGATGACACTTGTGGAACCGCCTGGTCTTCGCGGATCAACTTTACCTCTATAAGGTCGTTCTGTACGTTTCTGGCGAGTGTACCTGTGGTCACTCTATTTATTTATTTACGAGGGGTGTTCAAAAAGTTCTCGGCCTCACCTAGAAAATAAAGGTCAAACTCCTATTCTTTGGTATAGCTGTATACTATGACGTCTTACATCACTGCACACAAAAATTCAAATTTTTGTATTCATTAATGAGCACGTGACGCCCCGTGAAAATGGGGTGGGTGAGGGCAAATCACAAAATGGCCGCAAAAGAAGCGTGTGCTGTGATCAAGTGTATCGATAAAAAAGAAAGTCTCCTAAGGACATCCATGAAGACATGGTCAAGACACTTGGTGATGACTCCCCTTCTTATTAAAATATAAAGAACGGGGTTACTAGCTACAATCGCGGCAAGGAGAGCACAAAAGATGAACATAGATCAGGATGCCACAAATCATCACCACGGACAATCCAGATGAGGCCATCCATCACATGGTAGTAAATGACAGATGTGAGACTGTTCAACATGTAGCAGGTTCTTTGGCCTGTGTTATGACTCAGTTCACAATATTTTGTCGAACATCCTGGGGATGAACAAACTGTCTGCATGGTGGGTGCCTCGAATGTTTTTTGAACATCAGAACTTAACAGGCTTGACATTTCAAGGAACGAATTCAGTCCAATTCATGCAGTTTCCTCAAAACATTTGGCTCTCAAGATGAGCTGGGTTCACCACTTTCACCCCGAATCAAAACAACAGAGCAAACAATGGATGAAGAATTTTTCCCGCCCCCCAAAGAAGTTTTAGCGAGTTTCGTCCGTTGACAGGGTTTTTGCCTCTGTTTTCTGGGACAGTAAGGAAGTAATCATGATTGACTACATGCAAAGGGGTTAAAGCATCAATGGGGAGTGCTATAAAACAGAATTACGACATTTGAGGGCAACGATCAAAGAGAAAAGGAGAGGAAAGCTCCGAGCTGGCGTGATGAAAATGCACCTGTCCACACAACACAGGGGTCAGCGACAGCAGCAAACGAATTTGGGTTTGCAGTCTAACCCCACCCTTCCAATTCACCTGACCTAGCACCCTCGGACTTCTACCTGTTTCCTAAACTCAACTTCCACTTTCGTGGTCAACGTTTTGATGGTAATGATGACGTCATCTATGCGGTATAGGCCTATCTGGGGGGTCCAGATGCAACCTTCTTCCACAAGGGGAAAATAAAGCTGGAACATCACTGGACCAAGTGCATTGCAGTTAGAGAGGACTATATTATAAAATAGTTTAAGAAAAATTTTACTGCCCTGACGTTTTCTAGGTGAGGCCGAGAACTTTTTGAACACCCCTCGTATCAACCTTGGATGCATGTTGGTGTCCCTGCAAACGTGTGTGGCGGACAACACATCTATAAACCAGACCTCGTGACCGTGGCCTGTTTGCGAACCAGCACACGGACAACATCCACAAGCACGCCAGGCCTATATCTGTAGCATTGGGGGTTCATAACGGCTTTCATAAACATTTTTCTGACAATCCCGTACCTGCGAAAAGGTTTGGGTTTGATAGCCTATTCCTACCCTTACAGAATATACACACAGCGACAGAGCATGCTATGTTATGCACATAATGATAATGTATATGATATACATATGGTTTTTGCGTATCGATCAAGAGTCCAGAGCGCACGTAAACTATATTGTCCTGCTTTCTATTATATAAGGTCAACGACCGCTTGACCGGGCATGTAAAATTTGCAGCGGTGGAGAAAAGGATCGCTTCGGTAGACTAGATAATGATCACCGTACCGGTATCCAGTGATCTTTGTTCCTACTGACTTTATACAAGGAGCTTTCATCACAAGTAGTATGTCCTTTTATGTCTTACAACTTTTGATAGATTTTATCTGGATTCATGTGCTGTACGTGCGCTCTTATAGAGTCCATTCCAAGTCACCGCGTGTTTTTTTAAAATAGTACCTTTAATATTTTCTCAATGTTTTAGTTTTGAAAATATTATAAATATTCTGAAATTATTATAAAATGTACGTACTTGAGTAGCATGTTTTCGAAAATGTCATAATTTGCAAAAATTTCGAAAGTGGCAATCAACTGAGATCTTAATTTTAATTTCTTTTTTTTACCAGCCAAACTTCGTATTTACTTGATGTGCAGTTTCACCCGCGGCATCTGGGTTTACGCTCTCTGGCGGCGTCCTTTGTAGTCCGTGTAGTCAAAAGGCAGACGCCTGCATACAAATGAGCCCGATCATGACGTCACACGCGCCGATGCAGGCCGAAGATCGCGATCGCCCGAGCTGCCAGCGGTTTCCGCGGACTTCCTTATTTGGAAGCACACATGACTTGCACGGACGGCGTTTTTGACGAGAGGGAAGACGGAGTGTATTCTGACATGTTTCGGCGCCGTGTAATAGATCTACGTAATACTGTGCTAGAAAGATCCTTGAATTTACAAGCGTTTTTGTGAATGGGTACCTATTTTTTATCTCAAGAAATATGGATGGACTGTACAACCATGGTACAACAGAAAGGATTTGATGTTTCACTAGAGTTTGAGATTTATTAAAAGCAGCGTACGGTTTGGCACTGTTTTTCTGTATCAATGGCTGGCCGCTATCGTGTCGAGTGCTCGCCGACGGCAGGATCGCCGCAGGGTTCATCAACGATACCTACTAGTATTTTTGGCTCACAGAACGCTTCGTGTTGATGTGCAAATTACTTCGTCACGGGTCATTTACAAAAATTAAAAAAAATGGTAGAACCGAGTTGCCTTTCTTTAGAAATCATTGGAAATATCGTACGCGGACTCAAAAATATTTCGAAAGTTTTGTAATTTACGGAAATTTCTTAAGAAGTTAAGAACAAGTTTGAAATGTTTGTAAAACATAAGGTATCCCTTTAAAAATATTTATAAAAGATTGGAATTAAATCTAAACAATAGCAACAAACACCGAGCTAAGAATGGGGACCCGATATTGGTCGATTGTCGACATGTAGATAACCAGGAACATATATGTACATGTAGCTTATGAAGTGAATATTCCAATTCGTACATATAATAAAAATAAATTAAATTGATAATACCCTAATTTACATAATATACAATTCGTCGCCTAGGTGTATTTTTTACACCTTTCTTGTTACTACTGTCCCAGAATTGTCCCGAATATAGATTTCAATTGTCCCGAACTGAAGATGGACTGTCCCAGCCTGCTTTTCAGGAAATAAGTTAATGACAACAATAAGAAAACAACAACAATTGAATTTATGTAAATGTAGGGAAATACATGATAATATCATGGGCACGGCACCATCTTTGAGGCCCCCCTCCCCGATATTTGGAATCCCTGATTGGTCAAATTTAAATGTTTGTCAGAGTATTATGGGCTGCTGGCAGTCTGCAGCATGATTTATGGATTGTGTTCCCAAATGACGTGGATGGTCTCAGAATTTTCCAATTGCCCCGAAATTGTCCCGAAACGTAATTTGAATTGTCCCGAGCTGAAAATTTAGTGTCATTTGACACTGGGACAATGTTAATTTCGAGCCCTGCTGATGTCATCAGTTGCAGTTGCATAAATTTATAATGGTTACATCTGAAAATTATTAGTGTCACGTTGTAATTCTATATACATGCAGTGTTCTCACCAGGATTTTTTCACAGCGTAGGGGTCAAGTACAAAATGGCAACTTTTTGTGACGCAAGGTGCACATCGAGTGCCAAAAAAGCAGAGGGTCTGGTATTCTTCCCCAAAATTATTAAAGTAACAACCCTCTGAGACAATATTTCTTGCTTTTTGAGGGACAGATTTTGAAAAAGTAATATTTTTCTCTGTCATAGCTATTTGTAAAGTCAAATACAAATGTATACATTTTTTTAAAAGGTCACAATGATCTTCCCCCCTAAAAAAAAAACACCCCTACACTGGTTGAAGGACAAATTACAGTAGGGGATCCAAATCACAGTGTAGGGGGCCCCTACGCTCAAACAGCCCTGTGAGAACTATGACATAATGTGGGAAAATGAATGTGTTTGTGTTGGTTTGTGCAGAGTCTCAACAGCCAGGACTCCAATCTTAGTAATGTCAGCAACGGCAGCGAGGGGCAGAGTTCTATCAGTGACAAGGAGATGGAGGTATGATTGTCTTTCTTTGTCTGGCATTTTTTCTGCCATTATTGTATATTTTCCTTCATACTTAACTAATTCACGAAAAACATACACTTAATAGGTCATTGTACTTTTTTTTTAATTTTAGTATTTTAGTATCACTTATTATGCTGTTGAAGATGTAGCTAAAGTGTTCTGGGAAAAGTGTGTGAGAGTTGCGTTTGTGGTTGTTTTTGTGATATTTATGTGTTCGAGAATTGTGTATTGTACTATATCTTGTTGTTTTTTATTCTATGGTATCTAAGTATATTCCTCTTTACTCACCTCAGACACCCGAGAAAAGAACCCCTACAGACAGAAAGAGGAAGCGGAAAAATGATGAACAAGGTGAATAGTGAATTTTGTGTAGTCCAACACTTTGTACGTTTGATTAGGGCATTATCGCATTGTTTACTTTGTTTACTCATATGAGTAGTTGACACCTAGATATTTCCGAAAGTACAATAACATTTTCTCTCCTTTAACTGCAGGGAAATCAAAAGGACTTCCTACCAAGAAGATTAGTGAATATTTTGAGGTAAAGTCTTCTGCTGGACTTCCAAACATTTTCGTTACTTGTTTTAAGGATATTTATTTTTAATGAAGCCATTGTACTTGGTAGATGTATTTTCATCTGAAAAGCGTTTGAAATTAATATGTTTTGTTTTACAATCTTTCTGTATTATCAGGCTTCATTTTGGCATGTATTTAATGAGCCTTTGTACATTTGTATTTGGCAAACTTAAAATTTAAGGTATTATCGTTTTAAAAACGTTTGAAGAAGGTACTTTTTGTTGTAAGATGTTTGTGTATTATTATTTCAAAAGCTTTTGAAGAAAACTATTTTTGTTAAGATCGTTCTGTATTATCATTTCCAATTTTTTTTGTTTTAAGGTCTTTCTGTAGGCTTTGCCTTGTCCTGTATTGTGTAATGATTAGCCTGTATTTGTCATGTGTAGTCCCATTCCCCACATGGGGCTGGTGCAGGAGTGAGTCCCAACAGAACAGGGAACTCTCTCATCCCAGGCATGGGGCTAGCCAGGTCCCCCCCTCCCCCTGCTTCCTTCCAGCCAGTAAGTACATGTTTGTTTGTTTGTTTGTGTGTAGTGATGCATACCTAAACCCAATTTTAGGTTCAGGATTCAAGTCCAGAGGTTTAGGTTCAGTTCTGGACTTGTAAGTCCGGACCTAAACCCATGGCATATACAAAATTGCATGTTGGCAACCTTGCAATGTTGTCTGGGTGAAACTTTGGCCACATAACATGGAGGCCGGTACTTGACGATGCCCGATGGCAATGTTTTCTTCATTTTGCAACAAAGATTTTACAATCTACGGAACGTTTTAGGTGGTTTGGAAAGAAAGGGGTATGTGAAATGGTCTTTTATGGTAATAAGTCCGGACTCGGTTCTTGACTTTTAGGTTTGTTTGGACTTAAACCTAAACATTCTTACAAATCTGGATCCAAGTCCAGTGAACCGGTATGCATCACTATGTGTGTGTGTGTTCTGATAAACTGCCTTTAGTACCACCAGTTTTGTACATGTACATGTAAGTACAAGCTGCGTAAGACCGTTCTTACTTTCTTTCAAAACATTACAGTCTCACAAAACTTGTAAGAAGCACCGATTACTAACTTGTAAAAAATTACACAGGATACCGTAACATAAGAGAGTAAGCATGTTGCTTGAAATACTTTGAAATGTGCAATTTTTTTTCTCTGGCAAATCGTGAAAATGTTGCACTTTCAATTAGGCCACACCAATTTAATTTGTTGGTTCTCGGATTTTTTCAGAAAAAATATGAAGCGACAGGGCGAAAAAAAAATAAAAATAAAAACAGGTCTAGGCATCCTATTATAGGCCTAAATGCTACGAAATGAGCCATGAAGTTAACAAAAAAGGCTGGGTTAAAATTTAAAGTATAAATTTTGAACTTTCAATCAAACCACTGCATTGATAGATGGAAAAAACTGTAACAACTAGGAAGAAAAGGAATTTCCTCAACTGTTGGGGGCAAAATATGAGCATTTTTAGTTGATTCAGAACCAGAATCTTTTTTTTTTTTTTTTTTTGCAAATCAGAAAAAAATGAAGAGGCGAATCCGAGAACCAACAAATTAAATTGGTGTGGCCTTACTAAGAAATGTTGTTTTTATTATTAAAGAATGGTTCTCATTTTAGATGTGCTTTTTTCAGGTGTCCCCTTCCAGTTCCAACTCCAACTCCAACTTCAATAGCAGAATGGCTTATGCAAGGGTATGTTTATTTATCAAGTTATATTACAGTCATTGATTGAGACACTAAAAAGTTAACAACATGTTAGTCTGTATGTCTGTTACAGATAATATCAAAGTCTGTGTGCCTGTTATTATGCTACAGATCCAACTTAAATCTGTCTATGGGTCTTGTTTGTTACAATGTCAAACACTTACCCTTATATAGTTAAGGTCACAAGCTGTTGTTTTTGGAGATCAAATAATGAAAGGGAAACAAAACAATTGTCTGTAATCACTAAATTGTTTCAAATGTACTTGTTAGACAAAGTAGTAATTTCGGACATTCTGCCAAGTTGGCAGTTTTATCAAACATATTGTCATTAGCAGGGCTTTAGCCAGCTCGAAATTTTTTACCGTCAACCCCAGGTCAACCCAATTCGCGAAAAAAATACCGTCAACGCGAAAAAAAAATTCCGTCAATGATTACTTTTAAAGAATGTCTTTCACGATCCGGTGATCGACATCACGCCCTCCCGCACACTTAATGCATTCGGTGTTCTAAATACCCGTCAAGATTGCAGAATAAAAAAAAAACCTACACAATCTGCAATTTTGCAGAATGAAAAAAAAAACTACAGTTCTCACAAGGAGGCAACACGCAATGAACAATCCGCTATGCCCTTTATTTTGATCCGCTCAAATCCCGCCGCGATTCAAGCCGCGGCCATGCAAATGAACCTACTCATGACGTCACAGCCTTCGATTTCCACCGAGCCGGCCCCGAGCGCTGACCGACAGCGGGCGATGTGGCTCAGATCTCCGACGATTTTCTTATTTAGAGCGTTCGGAAGACTTCGGGTACTCGGCAAACAAAATGGCCGACATGTACATGATTTTACTTGTCAGCTTCGCTTCTCAACCGAAATGAGGAAGTTACAGCTCCTTTGCGGACTTTAGCGGCCATGAAGTTGACTTGGGGAAGCGCTGAGACGTGATTTCGCTACGGCATAGGGGATTTTGCCGCGGAGGGAGTTACGTGGCCGGCAAAAACTCGCGTGTCAGCGATCCTCCAGAAATCTTTATGCTGCCGCTCAAGTCTTCGCGCGAAGGAGGTCTGACGAAGTTTTAGATTAAATAAGGCCACATTGTGTGGATCAATCTCCGTTTTCTTGCGATAGTATGATTATTCAAGTACAGTATATTATTCAAAAACGTTTCATATTTCTTTGTTCGTTGTCACATGTTTACTTATCGTATTGTCATGTACAGTTAGCAGCGTGTGTCTGAGTCATGCCATTGTTTTATTTTATTCTTATGTGGCCGTTAGCACATGTTGTTTTAACAGACAGCAACATTGAACAATAGAGCCAAGTCAACAGACGTCGGCACGGTCCTTGAAATCAGGTTTCCCGCCGCCGTGCGTTTGGAAAAGACGCCGCGCCGTGGCTCATTCAAATTCGCTAGATTTTTTTCCATGTCTTTACCCACGATTTTTGTCCGTCAATGTTGACGGTAAGGACTAAAATTTTTACCGTCAGACGGGACAAATTACCGTCAATTGACGGTAAAACGGGCGCTGGCTAAAGCCCTGGTCATTAGCTAAGCCATCCCTGCGAGTATTAAATTATCAAGGAATTTACTACCATTTTCATATTTGCCCTGGCATTGTATATTATTTGTGTTTGGTACAGTGTCAATAGTGTGGTTCTTCAGGCTAACTTGTAGTAATGTCATAAACTCTTCTGTTCAGTTTCAGAGCTCCCCTGCTTCAGGCAACAGTATAGATTACACAGGTTTGGTACCTTTCCACCCTAAACCTGTCACTTCAACAACAGCACAGGTAAGCGCAACAAGCAGTATATAATTTTTTTTCACAGTGTAGGGGTCAGGTACAGAAGGGCAACTTTTTCCCCAAAAAAATAACTCATAACTCCCTGAGACACTATTTCTTGCTTATTGAGGGACAGATTTTGTGAACTTAATGTTTCCCCTCTGTTATAATTTCATTGTTTAAGGTCAAGTTTTCATTTTGTTTTAAAGACTCATGAAGGTTCTCCAAAAAAAAAACACCCCTACACTGGGGTCTAAATCACAGTGTAGAAGGTCCAAATCACAGCGTAGGGGGCCACTACACTCAAACAGCGTAGTGAGAACTATGCGCCTGATACATATGTCGTTTTATGTACGTTTTATACAAAAATATCTATTAATATCTTTCTGAAGTTTTGTGTCGTCAACTCTCAAAACGTTGAGAAAATATAACTAATTTTGAACATGTTGTCTTTTTGCAGACTGAAATGACCCTGGCCAGAATAGTAGAACTGGAGCAGCAAGTCACAAAGGAACAACAGAAGGAAAACACTATTGAAGACTTACAAAGGGTAGGTTTGTTCAACTAGATTTTAGCAACCATTTCAAGGCTTGAAATACCACCTTCATATGCAGGCTAGTGCAGGTAAAATTGGAGCTCTGCAGGTATTTCTGATGTCTACCTGCACCTAACCTGCACTGGTCCATGTACTAGGTATATGCAGGATAGTGCAGGTAAAATTGAAGTGTGCAGGTATTTCTGGTATCTACCTGCACTGGTCCATGTACTGGGTATATGCAGCTTAGTGCAGGTAAAATTGGGGCTGTGCAGGCATTTCTGATGTCTACCTGCACCTAACCTGCACTGGTTCATGTACTGGGTATATGCAGGTTAGTGCAGGTAAAATTGGGGCTGTGCAGGTATTTCTGGTGTCTACCTGTACCTAACCTGCACTGGTCCATGTACTGGGTATATGCAGGTTAGTGCAGGTAAAATTTTAGCTGTGCAGGTATTTCTGATGTCTACATGCACCTAACCTGCACTGGTCCATGTACTGGGTATATGCAGGTTAGTGCAGGTAAAATTGGAGCTGTGCTGGCATTTCTGATGTCTACCTGCACTTAACCTGTACTGGTCCATGTACTGGGTGTATGCAGGTTAGTGCAGGTAAAATTGGAGCTGTGCAGGTATTTCTGATGTCTACCTGCACCTAACCTGTACTGGTCCATGTTAGTGGTGCATACCTAAACCAACATTTAGGTTCAGGTCCGGATTCAAGTCCAGAGGTTTAGGTTCAGTTCCGGACTTGTAAGTCCGGACCTAAACCCATGGCATATACAAAATTGCATGTTGGCAACCTTGCAATGTTGTCTGGGTGAAACTTTGGCCACATAACATGGAGGCCGGTACTTGACGATGCCCAATGGCTTGATTATGTTTTCTTCATTTTGCAGCAAAGATTTTGGAAGGTTTTAGGTGGATTGGAAAGAAAAGGGGTATGTGAAATGGTCTTTCATGGTAATAAGTCCGGACTCGGTTCTTGACTTTTAGGTTTTTTTGGACTTGAACCTAAACATTTCTACAAGTCTGGATCCAAGTCTAGTGAACCGGTATGCAGCACTAGTCCATGTACTGGGTGTATGCAGGTTAGTGCAGGTAAAATTGGAGCTGTGCAGGTATTTCTGATGTCTACCTGCACCTAACCTGCACTGGTCCATGTACTGGGTATATGCAGGTTAGTGCAGGTAAAATTGGGACTGTACAGGTATTTCTGATGTCTACCTGCACCTAGCCTGCACTTGTCCATGTATTGTGTATATGCAGGTTAGTGCAGGTAAAATTGGGGCTGTGCAGGTATTTCTGGTGTCTACCTGCACCTAACCTGCACTGGTCCTAACATGTACTGTGGCTGTATATGGACCTTCATGTATATTTGCTGTATTGACTGTTACCACCTATGAAATATGACAGAAATAATGTCAGTACGTACTTCCTAAATTTTGAGTGGTACAGGTAAAAATTGTGTGGTGCAGGTAATTTGTAACGTTACCAGCACCAGTACAGGTATTCTGAAAGAATCATTTCAAGCCCTCACTTCTAGACTTAGTATGGTTCAAATTCGTACACCCAAAATAGTGGAATTGCTTCAGCTGCATAGCACGTTTCAAAGTGCTTATTTTGTAGACAAATAACTTATTATAAGTTAAACATCTTTTGAAGGCTTCAGTCACGTTTTTGAATACTTTAATAGTAATGTTGCTTACCATTCCAGCAGGGAAAGTGTGACTAATTATATCTGAGTGTACATTTGGCTTTGCCACCTTTGAAAAAACTTGGCTAGGGTAGACAAACTACAGAGTGTATCGCCAAAAAACAGTTACTCAAGCAACTGGATATGATTTTGAAAACGTCAGACGTTTCAGCTAGTATCCACTAGCTTTCGTCAGTGACTGAGAGACCAGAGGGGAAAGCAGGTTTATAAGCACAACCTGTTGATTGATATGCAAATAAAGTGAAGACAAATTTTCGGAAGTCGAAAAAGGAACAAAAGTCAGACAAGTCAAGAGTGTATCAACTCATTGTTGTGTTTTTTCTAGATGAATGGCGAGTTGCGCCACCAACTAGAAGCTACGCAAAGATTACTAGACAGACATAAGGACAACCTCTCCAAGTGTCTGGCCTTCAATAGGAAGCTTCTAATAGATCAGGTGAGTCAAAATAGATAGTTTCTATGTTTGCATGTCTGGCTTTTAACAAGCCACACATTGCAGAGCGTGGGCACAAAAATTCATTAAAAGCATTGACAACCGTGTGCATTTGGAGGTTTCATTCTACTGCTATTGGGACTTGGGGTATATCATTTTACAACTAACCCTTGTCCTGCTGGCATTTTTTACACAATATTTTCAAATAATTTGATGTCTTAATCAGGTCATAGACCCTTGGCTTTTTTTGCCCTGCAGTTGTGTAGTTACTTCCGAATTTGTTGCGTTGTGCTGTAGTGTGATGCGTTGCAGGAGAAATACCCCCAAATTGTACATGATATACATGGCGCTACATTGATGATATGTATGTGCAACCTATATATACATGTATATGGGCTCTGCAGGACAAGGGTTAACATCAAAGTATGACAGTCACTGCTTGTACCAGGTTCTAGCTAGTGCAAAGTAGCGTAGGGGCCCCCTACGCTATAATTTTGACCCCCTATGCTAAATTCCCCCCCCCCCCTACGCTATAATTTTGACTCCCTACGCTAAATTTCCCCCCTATGCTAATTTTTAATACAGCATAGGGGCATTGTGACTGTATTTCTTTGTTCAAGAATGCCAGATCAAATGTGAAAAATCAAGGATACATTGTACATACCTTAGAAATAACATTTTTCCCTTTGGGTATCCCTCAAATGGCCCCTTTTTAAGCTCAAATTTTTAAAAGCTCCGCTTCGCTCCCTCATAATGTGGCCAGTGCCACTACGCTAAAATTAAATCCTAGCTAGAACCCTGTAATAAATTAATGTATGGAAGAAAAGTTGTGAAACATCTGAAAATGCTTACTGATTGTGTGAGCCCGAAGAATCCTTGTTCAATGTTGTGTGTTCCCTGTAGTGTGTTACTGACAGAAAGGAGGTACGGAGACGGAGTATGGAGAACAGACTACGCATCGGTCAGCACACTGTGGTCAGGAAGGGCGCGTCCTTCGAGGAGGAATGGGTGGACGGATGGGCGTATATTGAACTCAAGAAGTAAGACATTCTTGTCAAAAAGTTAGGCCTAGAAAAAAATTGTTGTGTTTTCCGAGTAAAGAGACTCTTTTTACACAACCATGTCTTTTATTCGGCTGACACCTGTGCTGCAGTGCAATGTGAACCAGTCAGAATTGCCCCGAGGAAGGTGACAGACGGTCACCAAAACGTCGGCTGAATAAAAGACTTGGTTGTGTAAAAAGAGTGTCTTTACTCAGTGTCTTACCAACCTGATGAAACTATTCACAGATGTTGTGTTTCCTGACCAACCCTAGAAAAAACTGCCGACCCTAGCCATTTTATGTGTGAACCCCTGCAAGGAATCTTTTTTTAGCTGATAAACCTTTTCTAGCTCCAAAGAGAGAAAAAAGTCTTAAAAAAGGTAATCCCTACCTACCGACCCTAAACACAACATTTTTGTCCTAGGCTTTGTTAACCTTCAGCCTGCTAAATGAGTAGGAAAGACATTAGCACATATTTTGCTGATATTATTGCCTTAATTGATAATAATTATGTAAGACAATTTTTTGGCTGTCTTAGTTGGTGTTGTTGAGGTTAATGTCAACTACATGTATTGTATGAATTAAGTAGGTACCATTGTAACAAGTGTACCTAGCTTTAGTGACATACATGCTTTTTTAAGGTAAATAATACAATAGAAATTTGACCACTAGTCATGGATATACTGCAGTACTTATAGACCTCATAAGTAAGTAAGTATAGAACTCAATGCTAACTTATTTTTATTTCCCATCACTGTAGGAAGCAGCGAAAAATAGAAGAACAAAAAGGTGAAATTGAGAGATTGAAGAAGACCCTGCAGAAGAGAAAACCTCCCAAGCCGGGGAACGGTCAGGGCGGGCGATCAGGCAGTCTGAGTGATGGAGACGGGGTGTTCGCTAAGCCACAGGTCCCCTCACGGTTCGGTGGTCTGCCAAGGTGATCCCCACATACACAAACCAGGGTTCTAGCTAGCGCGAAGTAGCGTAGGGGCCCCCTACGCTATAATTTTGACCCCCTACGCTAAATCCCCCCCCCCACGCTATAATTTTGACCCCCTACGCTAATTTTCAATACAGCATAGGGGCACTGTGACTGTACAAATGTATTTCTTTGTTCAAGAATGCCAGATCAAATGTGAAAAATTACCAATCAAGGATACATTGTGCATTAGAAACCTAGAAATAACATTTTTTTCCCTTTGCGTACCCCTCAAATGGCCCCTTTTTTAGCTCAAATTTTTTAAAGCTCCTCACCGCGGAAGGGGGGGCCCATCGACATGCGGCCAGTACCGTTACGCTAAAATTAAATCCTAGCTAGAACCCTGCAAACCTCTCTGTTCACATCTAAGGCTACACTGACTTAATTTAATGGATGACATCCGTGGAAGAGCCCCAAACTAGTGCGCACGGGCGAATTAAAAAAAAAAAATCCAGCCCTAAAATATGCTGCTAAGCCACATGAATACAAAGGTGGTATTGTGAATTTGTGTCAGTACATAGTGACTTTTACAGCAAGCCGACACATGCTGGCCTTTTGTGGCATTTACGAGTTGGTACTGTACTGAGTTCTTGAGTTCCGTGGAACTTAGGCAGCCTGGGTGCCATCCTCCGTAGTTACTGAAGGCTCCCTATTGTCGCTAACTACCATGGACTATGGAGGATGGCATCCAGGCCAGAGCCTCCTCTGAGTTTTTTTTTCTTTTAAGAACAGGTGAAATGCAATGCACACGGATGTCATCCATAAAATTAAATCAGTGTGGCCTTATGTACATGTTAAACATTGCTGATTTGAGGATTGCTGATTTAGTAAAAATCATTTTTGTTACTGATAAGGTTGATGTATTATAACAGTAGCTACCGGAAAAATGTTTGAAAATCAAACTTTCAAATCCTCATCATCTTTATGTGTGTTTGAAAGCATTAACTTTAAGCTGTTGCATTGTGCTACATGGATGATTGTGCTGACTGCATGACAGTGTTTCTGACTAACTTGTATTTTGGTTTTCTCTTCAGCCAAACCAGTGATGAGTACAAGTATTATGAGCAGGAAGAAATTCTCAAGATAAAAAGTGCACAGCTAAAGAAGGTACATGGTCGCATCAAACTTGCTATTTTTTAATTATTTTGTACTTGCTAGCATCTATTTCCAGCTTGTATGAAATAGACATGACACTCTCTACTTGTCATGCTGAGTGGCTAGGCTAGTGGGCATAATATGGAGAGTTCATGATTTGATTCTTGTAACCTGTTTGTTTTGTCTGGTTGTAACCTGTTATGTCTGGTTGTAACCTGTTGTGTTTGGTTGTAACCTGTTGTGTCTGGATGTAACCTGTTGTGTCTGGTTGTAACCTGTTGTGTCTGGTTGTAACCTGTTGTCTGGTTGTAACCTGTTGTGTCTGGTTGTAACCTGTTGTCTGGTTGTAACCTGTTGTGTCTGGTTGTAACCTGTTGTCTGGTTGTAACCTGCTGTGTCTGGTTGTAACCTGTTGTGTCAGGTTGTAACCTGTTGTCTGGTTGTAACCTGTTGTGTCTGGTTGTAACCTGTTGTGTCTGGTTGTAACCTGTTGCATCTGGTTGTAACCTGCTGTGTCTGGTTGTAACTTGTGTCTGGTTGTAACTTGTGTCTGGTTGTAACCTGTTGTGTCTGGTTGTAACCTATTTGTTGTGTCTGGTTGTAACCTGTTTGTTGTGTCTGGTTGTAGCCTGTTTGTTGTGTCTGGTTGTAACCTGTTTGTTGTGTCTGGTTGTAACCTGTTGTGTCTGGTTGTAACCTGTTGTGTCTGGTTGTAACCTGTTGTGTCTGGTTGTAACCTGTTGTGTCTGGTTGTAACCTGTTTGTTATGTCTGTAGGAGGAAGCTGAGGTCACAACAGAGCTAGAGAAGCTGGAGAGGGAGAAAAACCTGCACATCAGGGAGATGAAGAGGATCATGAACGAGGACAACTCACGGTTCAGGGACAATGAGACCCTGAATGACAGATATCTGCTGCTGTGTCTGCTAGGAAAGGGTGGCTTTAGTGAAGTTCACAAGGTACTGTGGTATTTACATGGTTCAAGCTACAGAGTTAAGTGTGTGGAGAAACATCAAGAAGGGAAAAGTGGTGCATATTTTCAGGAGTTTTAAGATTAACAGAGCAAAAGTAGATAGGAATGTCTTACTTTAAGTTATTTCACCTCCACTTAGTTCACCTTCACACCTCACTTTTATTTCACACTGAACAATATAATGCCTAGGAGAAAATATCGTGTTACCTGTTTCCCGACCAACTCTAGAAAAAACTGCCGACCCTAGCCCTTTTTTGGGTGGACCCCTGCAAGGGACATAATTTTTTGGAGCTGATTGACCATTTGATCTGACACCTGAGTGATGAAACATTGTACCATCGGTTTTCAACAATGTTAAAGTTGGATCACGAGAGATCGCCAACGTCTAAAAAGGAAAGAATGAAAAAAAGACATCCCTACCTACCGACCCTAATTTTTCAGGACTGAAACAGGAAACACAACATTTTTTTCTAGGGCTTACATACGGGTTTGTATTTATGTATAGAAAGCTTGGTCACATCTGTCAGTAAAACATTGATATCTTTTCTTTTCTTCTGGCAAATGTTATTTGATGCTATTGAATAAAGTTAAGCAGGATAGATGATACCTTTGTTTGTGTTCCTGTTCAGGCCTTTGACCTGAAGGAGCAGCGCTATGTTGCTTGTAAGATTCATCAACTCAACAAGGACTGGAAGGAGGATAAGAAGGCCAACTATATCAAGTAAGTCCTGCAAAGTCTGGCTTTTTCTGGACTATGTTTTAGATTAGTGAAAATAGATTACTCTCTTAAAGGCATCCAATGCAATTTCAGGGCGGCAAAACTGGAAATATTCTGAATAAGGTAATCTGTATGATATTCACACATACTATCCCACATTAGCACATATGAGTATTTCGTAGTACATGACGTGTACTTTAAAACTGCAGAAGCAAGCCCCAAGATTAGTCCTTTATTTTCTGGGTGTTACCCTGAAAATCAATCCAGGTCCTTCCAGTAACTGTTTCTTGTCAGAATTTTGGGCATTTTCGCTCCATGAATGTCAATATACATTGGGACATTGTTGTTTCAGCTTAGTATGTAGATAGTGACTAGAATATTGACTTTGAGCTTTTGGGACCCTGATGATTTTAACGTCCTCTTGCCATTTGCAGGCACGCCATGAGAGAATATGAAATCCACAAGAAGCTGGACCATCCCCGGATTGTGAAGCTGTATGACGTGTTTGAGATAGACAACAACTCGTAAGTGGGACAGAATCATGATGGTTCTTAATATAAGAAGAGAAAAAAGACAACAGAAAGTAGTAGTGTGTGTAAAATATTTGAATTGCAAATATTTCATCTTTAAAAGCTCCTTCCAAAATGAAACTACGCCTTTTGTCTCTTTGTTGAGGTTGGATGTTTCAAAGAACAAATTATATATTGAAACTGGATATTCTATAACACAAGTTTTACCAAGTCGTTGGTGTGTTTTGTGGTAAAATGTTGAACTTTATTCTAACACAAGGGGAGTTTACATTCAGAAGTGATTGGTCATTAATTATCCTGATGAGGGTGACAGTGGTCGTTGAAAATTTGATCTCTGTGTAACTTTTTGTTGGGATAAAGTTCAACATTTTGCTATAATGATTACGTACCAACGCAGATGAAGTTTCAGGATAATTTGTTGATGTGTTTGTCCAGATTCTGTACAGTCCTGGAGTACTGTGATGGGAATGACCTGGACTACTACCTGAAGCAGCACAAGTGTATGGGTGAGAAGGAGGCTCGCTCTCTCATCATGCAGGCCGTCAGTGCCTTGAAGTATCTGAATGAGATCACACCACCGGTCATACACTACGATCTCAAGCCAGGTCAGTCATGTCATGGTTTATTGGTAAAGGCTTGCATAATATGTGTAGTGGTTGAGGGGAAGGCGTCGGCTCCAGTTAAAGTAGCGTCTGGGGTCCCCCAAGGAACCGTCTTGGGACCATTGCTCTTCCTCTTGTATATAAATGATCCAGGTGTAACAAGTCGATCGGTGCAATGTAGCCAGCTGCCACAGCCCCGCGTGCCTGCAAAGCTGGTGTGTTACGCCAAAGGGCGGTTATACCGGCTGTACAAATACAGATACAGAATATAAAACAACAGTTATTCAATGAACATTTGGCAGCCCAAGAGCTGAACTACATGTTCACATCTCTGGGATTCTGCTGACATATCTATCCATTTTAAGTATCATGTAATAGAGATAAATGGTTACATAAAAACCAAATGCCTTTCAGCATACTATTACTACCATACACCTCTTGACAGTATCTTTGTTTCCCTTTTATCCAACAGGCAATATCCTGCTAGGTAGCGGCTCCTTTAGTGGTGAAATCAAGATCACTGACTTTGGTCTGTCTAAGGTTTGGGACATGAATGCAGACTCCCAGGAGGGGATGGAGCTCACGTCACAGGGAGCTGGCACATACTGGTCAGGACTCAGGAGTTTGGAGCTTTGTTAATGCCACAAGGCCACACCAATTTGATATATTGGTTCTCAGATTTTTTCAGAAAATATTTGAAGTGACAGGGTGAAAAAAATAAAAACGGGCCTAAGCATCCAAAATCTATGATACAATGTAGGAGGTTTACAGGCCAGTTTACAATTCAAAGTAACAATGAATTTTCAACTTTTGAGTCAAACCACTGCATTAAAAGATGGAAAAACTGGAACAACTAGGAAGACTTTCTTCAACTGTTTGGGCCAAAATATGAGCATTTTGGAGTTGATCCAGAACCTGAATTTTTTGTGAAAATCGGGAAATAATGAAGCGGGCGAATCCGGGAACCAACCAATTAAATTGGTGTGGCCTTAGATGTCCTTATTTAGTTATTGTTGGGTGACCGGGAAAATATTTGGTTGCTCCGAATGGTTATGCCTGTATTTACAAACACCCCTATGTTCAGACATCCCTATATTCAGACACTAATAATAATTATGTTCAGATACCCAAGAAACGATAAGTCTAAATAAGACTTAACTTTTATTTTTGGAAGGATATGATACTTCTGATCAGTATGAAGGGGCCTTGAATTTAAGATTTTGTGCCCATACAGGTGGTTTAATGGACTTATACCATTATTACATCACAGTTTGTTTATTACCTGTTCTAAAGAACATTCTAGAATGGTCAGTTAAAGACTCACTCACTCACACTCACTGTCCGGTTTTAAAGAACAAAGATCATTTCAAAGTTTTCAAAGTAAGGTATGTCTGATTTTTTGCTGCGTCTAGTTGTGTTGACACAGCATTACATGCCGCGTAGGTGATTTAGTTCTGACATTAGAGGAAAGTAGTACTGTATTAAAAGCCTTATATTAGGCTAACGCTACACAAACACACACCGCGCTACGCACCCCTGTACAATATAAACGTCGATTGACCGGCATTCATTGCGGTAAACAAACTGTGACGTAATAATGGTATAGGTCCATTGATACGTAATGTTCTCTCCCACACAGGTACCTGCCCCCCGAGTGTTTTGTGGTAGGGAAGAGCCCCCCTAAGATCTCCTCTAAGGTGGATGTGTGGTCCATAGGAGTCATCTTCTACCAGTGTCTGTACGGGAGGAAGGTCAGCATCTCTTTATAAATCTTCTAGCTTTCCTGGAGAAGATTTAAAAAAGAAATCCACAATCTTCTTACACAATCTTCAAAGTTTACAATCTGCAACAGCATCCAAACAATACACCAAAAACAGTTACTCAAGCAACTGGATATGATTCTGGAAACAGTCACAGACGTTTCATGTAGCATCCACTACCTTTCGTCAGTAACACTGGAGAGTTGTCAGAAAAGCAGTACAAACTATGGGTTGATATGCAAATTTTTGGAAAGCCACAAAGGAAACAAGCATTGGACAAGTCAAGACAAGCCATAGGATGAAACAGTGACAGTTTCCCTGACAGTTTCCAAAATCATTTCCAGTTGCTTGAGTAACTGTTTTTTGGCGTGTCTTATTACCTGGATTATCTATTACCTTTACCGATGCATCCAAACAATACTACAAGTTACTGTACATGTACAGTACATCAAATTGAATGTAAAAGGGTTTTTGAGATGTACTGCTTTCCCTTGTTTTATTTGGCACATTTTAGAAGAGATATAATTTAAACCATAATGTTTTGAATGTCTTTCTTTCTTGTCAGCCATTTGGCCACAACCAATCGCAGGCCACGATTCTGGAGAATCGGACTATCCTGAATGCCAAGGCTGTGGAGTTCCCATCCAAACCTGCGATCAGCCAGGAGGCTAAGGTAGGATGTAGTAACAACTTAAACTGGCACATTTCTACATTTTGAGAAAAGTAGAGACTTAGAATCTTCTACATGCAAGCCACATCTTAATGTTACTACATACATGGCTAGGGAATTTTTTTTATAATGATTTATTTGAGAACAGAAAGGAAATTTTTATGTCTGAAGCAGGGCTCTAGCCAGCACAAGTTGACCAGTTTTTCCTTCAATTACCAGACGTTTTTCAATTACGGGAAGAATATGAAAACATCTTAAGGACCACTGACAACCACTCTCAACACCACGATTTGCTTCTCAAATTTTGTGGGAAATTGCGTTTTTGAAGGCTTGAAAATGAAAAATTTCTTTGGGGGAGCATGCCACTGGAGAACTCCCTAGAGGGCTCTCCAAATCCGATGATGAACCTGGGCTGACGGAAATAATTTCAAGGTTCCGGGCCGGAGTTTAATTCTGACCAGGGTTCCAAATAGTGCGCAGTAAATCGCCGGATCTGCGAGGTTGTCACGCTAGGTTTGGCTCCCCATAGCTCGGTGATCGCTGTAGATTTTCAACTAGGTTTTGAATTGATCAAAAAGCCTTGGGATTGTAGTGTTTTTCGGCGCGGTGAAGTTGGACGGCCAGCGAAGCGTTTTTGGTATTAGTCCGCGAGCAAGGGTGATGCGGTTTGTCGCCTGATGACCCAAATAGCTGCGTTCTATGTGGAATTTCTAGGGGTTCGCGTCACCGGATTTTGTGAAAAACTTATCGCAACAACCTATATTTTTTTCTGTTTTTCAGAAACAGAAAGTAGTAAGCTATTTCAGCATATAAGCCGTTAGCCTGGGAAAATTCGTTTTTTCCAAGCAGGTCCGTTGAAAAAACTGCAAAAAAAACTACATTTTTCGTATCCAAAATTTACGTTTAACTACAGTTTCTACCCAAATTATAGAGTCGACGGACAATAACCAAAATTGTATCGGAAGCCGGCTGGAAACCTCAGTTGACTGATGTAATGAGATTTCCCGGCGTACTTTTTTTGGCGGAGTTATAGCCCTTCGGTCTGAGGGTGTCCGCCGGATCCAAAATCGTGAAAAAAACTCCGGTCCGAGACCTCAAGCTGGCTAGAGCCCTGGTCTTTTTTTTCTTTTATTCTCTATGATTGGCTGACGTTTGCATCATACACTGAACTTTAGCATATTTTTTCACGCCATGACGTTTTTTTCTACAAATAGAAGAAACTTGACCATGTGTGCCTTCCTCTTGTTCCTACAGAACTTTGTGCGAAGATGTCTGACCTACAGGAAGGAGGAGAGACCAGACGTGCACCTGTTAGCCCGGGACCCGTACCTGCACCCCAGCTTCAAGAAGTACGGCTCTTCAGGGAGCCTGAGCAGCCCCTCCGCGCTCCTAGGTACAACCTTCACTGCTACAACTGGCATGGGGAGTTTAGGATCAGGGTCTGGCTCCGGCTCTAATTAAAACTGCACAGACTAGTTCTGGACATGACTCTCGCCACAGAGACTGCCAGCTTCCGTTCTGGACTAAACATTGGAACGTTCCTCTGAACTTCCCAGACTATGCCAAACCGATGGAACTGGACTAGAGACCTTCAGCATTACTGGAGAAAAACACTGCTGGAATGCTGAGAAGGAAATGTTATCATGGCGCATGTACAAAAGACCTGTCAAAGATAAAGCAGGCATACGTGCCGTAGTCGACTACATAGCTCCATCTTCTTTTAATTTTATTTATGTTCACTCTGTATAAATCTTTGTTGTAGCGTACGACTTCATAGATACACTCTCAGGCTGTGAAATGGATAGAGGATGCATTGCTATCCAAAAATGATGTAAATACAATTTCCTCAATTAGTGTAAAGAGATGTAAAGCCTTCAGTAGACTGATGAAACACTTGAGCTGTGTATATAACTTGGATCCCACTCAACTATAGTCTTGGTTCTATATGAAGCTATAGTTCCTGCTGTTGCTAAAGCTTTCCTTCAGTCCCCAGTACTTCTACATGGTGCATGCTAATGATACAATAGTAGAGAATTCACATGAATACAACCTAAGGGAGCATGTGTAAAAGCAGGAACTGTGGCTGCTAGTGCCAGGACTGTGCTTGTTGAAATGCTGCAGAAAGTACACAGCCACGAGAAACATGTAGTAACTAACTCCATCCTGGTGCTTCTTCCCCTGTGGAAATAAACTACTATAGGAGGCCAGGTCAGAGCTTCACCTTAACCTTCAACATGCTGACATACCAGTGAATCAGTCCCACATTCCAGCTGTGGAGTCTAATGGTTAAACTGTGCTACTACATAAGATAAGCAGGCTTTGATGTAGCCACTCTTAATGATGGACACATCCTACAATGTCATGTCTCCATCCAGACTTATACATGTTGGAATGAAAAGACATTGTTGCAGAGAATATGAAATGCTCACTGCTAGTACAAGATTTACAGGAGGGATGGAAATGTACAAGTCTTCCCTCTCTCAAAATGTTCCCTATAGACTCATTATTAGAAGGTCTAAGAAGTTGGTGTTGATTCGCCCATAGATCAGCAGTACTTCTTTTTTTCGTATCAGCCTCTGCTCATTTCTGTTCTGTCTAGTGTACAAGTTAGTATGTTCAGACCCAGCAATGCCCTGACTGTTGCAGGCAAGTAAGGTATATGGTGTCTCTTTTCCTTGTGATTGGGAGAAGAACCTTACTAGTATGTGTATGGTGCATATACAAATGTTTCATTGAAGCACATTTCAGGAACGTTTTAGCAAACTGGTCTGACTTACCAACTGTAAACAACATTGAGTTGTGAGACTCCATGCTTATGGTAACACCTGTATATGGAGATGTTAACTTGGTAGGAACTGTGGTGAGAGACCTGGCCTGTCTCCCAACTGTGGTGAGAGACCCCGGCCTGTCTCCCAACTGTGGCGAGAGACCCGGCCTGTCTCCCAACTGTGGTGAGAGACCCGGCCTGTCTCCCAACTGTGGTGAGAGACCTGGCCTGTCTCCCAACTTTGGTGAGAGACCCGGCCTGTCTCCCAACTGTGGTGAGAGACCTGGCCTGTCTCCCAACTGTGGTGAGAGACCTGGCCTGTCTTCTAACTGTGGCGAGAGACCTGGCCTGTCTCCCACCAGGTACTGATATTATTGGGAAGAACACAAACACTGGATGAAGTACTGTAGAGGTAGCAGCTTTTCATTGTCATTGACAACACAAAATAACAGATGCAATTCAAACAAACATGTCTTCTTGTTTTGTTTTCATCCCATTAGTGCTAAGGAACCGACATGTAGTTGGATTTTCATTGACCTCGCAGAGAATATATCATTACATGGCTTGTTGAATAAGGTTAGACATCCAGATAAACAATATTCAAAGACAATTCAGTCTACTACTGGATAAATTACAGAGATTACTTCAGAATCTGGAAGTTTTGAGTGACATCCGTCTCTGAAAAAAAAAACATTTACGAAAACGCTCCGTATTCAGCCGTTCGTAAAGGTAGTTCTAGGATGCAGGACTAAAACGGCTCTTTCCTGGTTAATCTGTGACATTTAATGTCAAGGACAAGAGCAAGAAAGGCCTGAAGAAAAACCCCCATAAGAGCCCATCACGTTTCCCAACTGGCGAAAAACCGAAATCTGGGAATGAGCGAGGCTTCTTTCGCGAGATACGGACCTTTTCTGAATGGATGGTCCAAAAAGGGGGTGGGATAGGAGATGAATTTCCGCTTTTCCAATTTTAGAAAAATAGATCTTTTGACATTTATCGGTCTCCTTGTTTAGTGAGTATACTCGTGATGGTCTCTATTCCCACGCAATGCCTTCCAAAAAAATCCTTCTTTCTCGAGTTATACGTCAAAATGTGAGTTTGCGATCAGCTGATCCGTTGCAGAAGTGGTCAAAACCTTTGCAGAAGCGAATTTTTCGTTGTCGATATCATTACCATATGAATGTAAACCAAGCAGATGGTGGGCTGGAAAATCGTACCTTTAGTCTTTAGCCTCTAGGACTGCCACAGTATATATATATGCCCCTTCTTCCGGAAACATGATAATACAAGCAATAAGACAGGTGGAAGGTCGGATGCAGTGCGTCTGAAAACGTTATGATGACTGCAAAGTTCATTCATGGAACGTACTAGTATTTCTTTTGTTCACTAAGTCAACCAATTTGTACGTGTCAGAGACGGTCCACATATTCATGACATTTCGTTTTTGCCGCTGCTAGATTTCCTGCAATGATGATCTTAGCCGTTTGGTGGAGCTATTTTGTGACAACCACTTGCTGGGAGTAACTTCATGGTCTCAATCCGCTTATTTTGTGTAGAAATATACCGAAAATGACAGCACACAAATCGGCCCACAGTACGTCTACAGGGGTGCCAAAGAATTCATCAGAATTTTACGGAATTCATACGATCCTTACTAGAAACATACGAAGTTTACGGAATACATACGATCCTTACATAATTTGGGGTCATTTGAAGTCATTTGGTGACTTGCCGCAGCGATCACCGTTTCCCAGCATCGCCCTGCTATTTGATCTAAAATACAGGCTACTATGTCGTGAAAGAAGTCCGCATAAGTGCTGTTTGGGATTTAGAAGGGCAGGACAAGCCCTTAAAAGTCTTTGAAACCAAGATATTGTATGGAGAACATCGCTATGATACTATTGATAGTCCGCCATCTTGAATTTGCTGTCGACGTGATCGTGGTGCAAGTCACCAAATTAGGCGATGTTGATTTGATTATATGGATGACATCCGCGCGGGCATGAATTTTCGGCCGTTTCCAAAAAAAAAGTTTTCAACCATACTGTAAATCGTGCAAAACAGTTGCTAAATGAGCAAAAATATACCATAAGTTGCAAGGAAAACATTTAGAAACGATACCAATGTCGTAGAATGCCAAAATCAAAGGAAAAAAGACAAAAATGTAAAGAAATGAATTTGAAGAGTAGATTATTCGCCATAACATATTCTGTGCCATTTGTTCCACCTTCTTGACCACGTAGATTTCATAGTGAAAGCAACTTTTTTTTGCAAAACTTTTTTTTTATTCGCACGCGCGCATCAGTTTTGGGGTTCCCAGAGGATGTCATCCATATAATCAAATCAACATGGCCTTAGTAAGGATCGTATGTATTCCGCGTAATGGATCGTATGTATTCCGTAAACTTCGTATGTTTCTAGTAAGGATCGTATGAATTCTGTAAAATTCTGATAAATTCTTTGGCACCCCTGGTCTAACTTTTTACTGTACTTTGCTTTATATCTTATCGTAATCTCCAAGCAAATCCTAGGGTGGCATAATGTGTTAACATTGTGTGGATGGCGTTCAGCACCAAGGACAGGCACCGTTTGCACAGAAACATGTGGTGCACAGAAATTGAATTAGCAGATTCCGACTGCTACACGTTCGTTACTAGTACTTGTTGTTCTTGACGCTGCCTGTGTGTAATTTTGACACAGACTAGTCCGAAATTTTGGGCAGAGAACGGTTATTTTTGAGGGGATTGATTCTTGGTGGTAAAGTAGTTGTGGTCATCAGGGTCAGCTGTTGTGCGCCCCTGTGTAAAAATCACACGTGGTACGGTCCAGTCAGTCTGCGTCTGTCGGTTTCATTTGGCTGGCACCACTTTGCGCACTAACATCCACTTTTGGCAGTCGACCTTTTTTCCTCATCTTATTCTGGCCTGGCTGTTTTGTTTCTTCTTTAATTATGCAAATTACCTCTGCATTAACATGATATATGCATTGTGATATTTGTTAACGTTTGATTAACTTACAGATATCCCAAGTATGACATTCCCATCATTCACCATTAAGAAATCATATATTTTTGCATAATTATGCAAAGTAGGTCATAATTTGCATAATTAGTATCTGTTGATGTTCTGCCTGCCATAGGTTACATACATTACATGTATGAAAGTAGTATAATGTAAAACACTGTAATTATAGAATTTCCTCATTAATTATGCAAATAAAGTCCTCATTTGCATAACTTGCATTTAATCATGTTCTGCTGCAGTACCAAGGTCATCCACCAGGAGGCCCATATTTGACCTTGACGTTTGTCTTCCTAAGACTTACCAACATACCATTAATATCATCATAATCCATAAAGGCGTTCTGAATTACGCTGACCACAAAAGTTGCGGAAACACACACACACGAGACAGACACACAGACATA